TTGGTTACACAAAGAAGAGAAAAGTATTTAGTTGTTGCTGCAGTTCGATTTGTTCGCACTATTCTTTCACGTCATGTGAGTTTATGTTGATTAATAAAAAAGTTTTATTTATCCTTGAGCTCAGCTAAAATCCCAAAGAGATCCAAATGATCTGGAGGTGATCATTTTTGTTGTTTTGGACAAATTATCCATAGCACAAACTGAAAAAAAAATTGCATGAAAAAATATATTATGTCATGTGCTTCAAGAAAAGAAAAGTTAAGATGAGCGATTTGCCATGCAAGACTAGAAGTCAATACATCGTGACGGTATAACTTGTGCAGATTTGAGCATAGTGGTTTCATAGTGAGAATTTCTCATCAGTATGATCGTAGTGGGAAATCTGGATAAAAAGAATGTTATATTTCAAAAAGGTTCTTAGTCTGCGCAACTTTTTCAGCTTCCATAGTACATATAAGAATGTTTATTATCATCTTTGTGCCCTGTTGTACGTATAGTCTCTCTCTACCTGCTCTGATATGTGAAATATGCAATCTTTCTTTTCTCTTTGGGCTAAGTTGTTCATGTAATAATTGGGTAATGCGTGATTCTGCAGGATGAGCATCTGATAAATCATATTGTTAAGAACAACCTTCTGAAGCCAATTGTCGATGCATTTGTTGGTAATGGAAATCGATATAACCTGCTGAACTCGGCTATTTTAGAACTTTTTGAGTTCATCCGGAAGGTGCTACTCTCTTTTTGACACAGTTTCTGGAGCTAAAGTATGTCTTGAATGTATCATCTTATTTGTGTTTCTCTTTTTTCCAGGAAAACTTGAAGTCTTTGGTTAAATACTTGGTTGATTCATTCTGGGATCAGTTGGTCAGATTTGAGAATTTTGCATCGGTTATCTCCCTCAAAGTAAAATATGAGCAGGTACTATGCTCCTATATTTTCTCCACTCCTAAATTTGGAGCTTTTGTATTTGACACGTGCTTTTGCAGTGCCTAGAACATTTTGGAACCAAAGGCACCGCTAATGTGTCAGACCCTAGAAAACGAAACGATGAGCGTGCTTTGGAGAAAGAAGAAGAAGAGTATTTCAACGAGGACAGGTATGTCTTTGTGTTGAACGTTTATCATGTATTGATAGTACTCTTTCCCCTATTTTGTTACTGATAGCCACTGAACATGATGGAACTTGGTAATCAGTGATGAAGAAGATACAGCATCTGCATCCATGCCAAATACCCAAAAAGTACAGACCCAACCGCAACCTGTTTTATCCAATGGAGTTGCTGCAAGTTATCCACCATCCAGGTATTATACTCTTCTAGTGTAGATTTATCAGAGTGCATTTTCAGAATATTTTTGGCTATACGGCCCATTTGTTCATATTGATTTTTGTAGTCCAAGGTCTGTCGGGCTGGTGGATTATGATGACGATGAGGACGACGAAGACTACAAGCCACCGCCCAAGAAACATCCTGAACCTTCTGATGAAGATGAAGGAACAATGGAGTCCCTTAGGTTGAAGCGGAAATTGGCTTCTAAGGATAGGGAGACCGAGCTAGCAAAGAGGCAACGGTTGGGTAAAAACTCCAAGCCAAAAGAAAGTGTGTTTGCTGCTTTGTGTACAACTCTAAGCCAGGCAGTGCTACCGAATAAGAAAATAACTCGCACAGCTGAGGGGGTCAACTCAGGTGAAGGGAAAAATCAAGAGAATGATGAGCATGCTGTTTCTAAGAGCTGTTCTGAGAACAACAGTTGCGATGATGCTGACAATAGGGAAAATGAGCCTACTACTTCTAGAGGCTGCTCGGATCACTTGCATGGCACTCCGGATGATAGACAGTTGGGTGGAGAGGACTGCCCGTTGATACCACCAAAATCTTCACCGGAAATGGCTGTAAATGGGTCGTAAGTTATATTTAGCCAACGGGGTTACTGCTTTGTGTTTTTTATGCAACTTGTGAATGCGTGCTTGGTGCCAGAAAGCGGTCCCAGGCCGCAGATGAGCATACATTTGGAAGAGAGGAAGTGAACCGACAGAGAAGAGAGGATAAATTTGGTCTATGGCTTCCATCGACGATGGTAGGAGTGAATACTGTATAGTGCCACTGCGACGCGGAAAGAAAAAAGAAGTCAATAGTCACATTGTGGGGTGGCCAAGCCTATCATCATCTCTTCACTTGGCGTTATTGGGGCTTTTGAAGTATTTTGGTTTTTGTAAAACATTCATCAGCATTGGTTTCTCTATATCCAATTCTCTTCTTTTTTCGCCTTTCATCTCAAGTTTTGTGTTTTGTTCGATTTGTTCCTTCTATTTTTTGACACAAAACCGAGCGCAATGGCGTTTTAGGATTCATATAGTTGACCCCACTTAGTGGGAAAAAGTTTTGTTGTTGTGATAGAAATTAGAAGGGGCACCAAATTATAAAAGCCCTGTGTTGGGTGGGATTGTGCCTCTAATGCCAAAAGTATATTTGTGGTGGGGGTGGGGGTGTGGGTTGGTTGTAACTTGTAATAGAGAGAGAATGAGAGAGGAGAGTGTAGTGAGTAGGGGTTTTTCAGTAGGGAGTGAAATTTTCATTTTTGCACTCGCTGTAAATTGCTGTTGAGTTTTCATAATTATCCAAGGTAACTTATGGAATGATTTCTACCTTTAATAACATGCAACCCCAAAGAAAGTCTAGTAAATTTTGATTTGTTGGTATCCTACCTCCATTGCAAGAAAAAAAATACCGACCTTTTGATCTTAAAAATACTGGTTTTAAGAATGAGTGATTGTCCTTTTCTCTGACCCTTACTAGGGGTGGGTCCACGGTTCTTTTGTTTTTTTTTTTTCTTCTGGGATACAATTCAATCAGTTTGAATTTGATACAATCAAGCCAGCATTGACAATAACAATCAAATGGGCATGTCAAGATCCATCAATAACTATCATAAACAAGCAATTAATCACAAACAAAATCAGAAAAAATTCAATTGAGATTGCGATATCCACCCATGCCCACACCCCTTCCTTTGTATTCTTCTGCAACTCAATAGCACCACTCAAACCACCGCCACTCAATGCCGTCTTCGCCCATGCCCACCTCACCATTAGATCTGTTGATGCACAAAATCGGAGGTCTTGGAACAATGTAAATCCGCCGTGAATCTGCAAGAAATGTAAATAACACAAGATGTATTGTGGTTCACCCCAAGGTTTGGGCTACGTCCACACCGATTATGTATTTCTCTGTTTGTGAGAGAGAGATTTAGAGCCTCTGAGGGAGAGAGTGAGGTCTTTGATGGCCTAGGAAATTGGCATGTCTTAACTGTGAGGGTGAGGAGTCCTTTTATAGAATAAGGGCTCCTCACTTATTACATATTTGGCTACGTCCACACTGATTATGTATTTCTCTGTTTGTGAGGGAGAGAGATTCAGAGCCTCTGAGGGAGAGAGTGAGGTCTTTGATGGCCTAGGAAATTGGCCTCTCCTAATTGTGAGGGTGAGGAGTCATTTTATAGAATAAGGGCTCCTCACTTATTACATATTTGCCCATTCCTTTATTACATAATTACATTTAAATCCTCCGAGCATTTGTACGAGGTCTAAATATGGAGGCCCTAAGTATGGTACAAACAAGATCCAAACCCACCAAACCCAGTTCCAAATCGCCACCCACAATGAGATTCAATGCTGGCCAACTCAGATCTGCCTCTTTTCTTGCTCAAATTCAATTTAATTTAATTCAATAAAAGATTTGAAATTGGAACATAACAGAGGTCAAGGTTCAAGAACCCAACAAAATCCCTAAATCTAGACAACCCTAATTTAATTTTCAATCCTAAATCCCCGAAAATGTAATACCTTAAAACTGAAGAGGACTATGAGCAGAGTTGTGCGCTGCGAATATGGGTCTAAGTCAGACGGAGGAGACGTCGTTTCGAGTTGTTCGACTTCGTCCGTCCCTTTGAGTTTGTCAGAGAGAGAGAGAGAGACTGATTTCTAGAGAGTGAGTCAGGAGAGATCAAGGCTTGATGATGATGGCAGTGGACGGAGTGAGGAAGACATGAGTGAATCAGGAGAGATAGAGGTTTGATGATGATGGTGGCGGGGTATGGAGCTGGGACGGTGGGAGGCTGGGAGCGAGTTAGGAGGTGGTCTCGAGGTATGAGTGAAATGAAAGGAATTGGGGAGGAGAGATCGAGAAGACTAAGGATGAGGAAAAGAAATGGGTCGGGCTGGGGGCTCGTTCCCTCCTATTTTAAGGCCCGCTCGCCCCGTTTTGTGTTTAGAAATATTGGACCCGCCTTGTACCCGTCCCGAACCTGAATTACCTGCCCCTACCTACGGTTCCTGAACCCGTTTGCCCACCCCTAACCCTTACTGCCCAACCTAAAAGGGGACAAATCAAATTCGATTATAATTTCAGGGCCAAGTGATAACGTTGAATTGTGATGTTTGGTTGTCTACTCCAGTTGAGTGACAAATTCTAAATTTCACGAACGAATATCAAAATCTAAGGTCAAGAATGTTATGTTGGAACGTGATAGATGGAGTTTAGGGTAGTGATGAAAATTTGAGATGCATTGATATTCTAAATCCAGTCTGTTGTTTGTCCAGCAGGATTTGGATCCCATCTGAATTCAAATTATGGAGATTCTAGAGATCCTCATATTTTAGCAATTTATCATGTATTGTGCGGTCAGAAATTCATTTGATTTTTTTTATTTAAAGTTAAACACAAATAGTATCTGATAAAAACTGATCGCACGATGTACGATAACAACTAGAATTTGAAGATCCCTACAAAATGAATCCGGAGATGATCCTTTTCCTGTCCAGCATATCAGTCCAAACTCATTACCATAGTGTTTGTTTGTGAGGCAGGTTAATAGGGGACAGATGGCAAACAGTTGGAACAAGTCGCCCCGAAGTTCGCAGGAGAAAGACACGAACGTAGCGTTGCATGAGTACGTGTCTTCCTTGTACCTTCTTGCCTCATTTTCTACTGGTTCCCCGCTTCAGTCTCATCACTCATCACAGCAGTATAACCTCAAACTTTTACGATATCGAACAAGTAATACTGAAGCAGTGTGAAGATATGTTGAACACGACCAGCAGCACTAGTTTGGAAACAAAGCCGTCGTTGCTGCCGGAGCTGCGCAGCTTCGACAAGAGCGGCTTCTTCGACCTCGGCCACCCTCTCCTCAACCGCATCGCCGAGAGCTTCGTCAAGGCCGCTGGGGTATCCTCTCCTTACCCTTCCATTTTTCACACACACACACACACACACACACACACACACACTCTCTCTCTCTCTCTCTCTCTCTCTCTCTCTGTATATGTGTCCGTGTGCCTTGTGTTAACAAAAGTACGTCCAAAATATATGAGCATTTCGTTAATAAGGTTGGGTTGCTGCAATGGACAGATCGGAGCTATTCAGGCTGTGTCGCGTGAGGCTTATTTCATAGCCATTGAAGGTAATAACCATATAATCTTTCTGTTTCCTTCTACTTTGGAATTTCTTGGTTTTTACACATGTACGTACGTATATGTATGGATCTACACTTATTCGTTTAAATTTTAATTATCTGAATAACTTGATGGGACAAACCATATTTGGGATTTGAGCTATCTGCATATAATTAATGTTGTCTATCTAAAGAGACAGACAATTGTTGAATCATGCGTACGTATACGTGTTCATTATAATGTGCAGGATTCGATTCAAGTACAAATGGCATTCCGCCCGAAATCTCAGTTCCAGGAAACAAAAGGCAACGCTTCCCTGACCTCAGAGGTATATATGCAGCTAGCTACTCCATAGTTATTTTTATAACTTTTATTGATGTAGTATGCCCGCCCGACTACAAAATTACGGATGTAGATTACGAGAGAACCCTTTGCAATATTATGTATGTGCTTGCTCAGTTGTTGGTATATTGAACAATTGATTGTGTCTCAAGCGGCTGTTATGTGGTTTGCAGGTGAAAACAACAGAAAATCTCTTGAAGCTATGGTGAGTTGAAAACTAGCAATCAAGCTAATTCCAATTACCAAGATTGTATTTCGTTGTTGCCCTCAAATTACCAATCAATTATATATTGAGGTGCTCTAATGTTATACCTCCTTAATGAACCACCACAAATTGATCCATAAATAATTGAATTCTCTTGCGGCTGTCTGGCCTTATCTGCATTGGAGCTTTCTGGCTTGTCTGCCATTTGATAATTTATGTACTTCGAATTCTTGAGTAAGCTCTAGCAAAGTCGTGATGCAGTTAGTAGTCACTGATTTATTGTCACAATGTTTTCCAGGTGAAGAATACAGGAAAGGAATCATTACAATGGGGTAAGCACATCTTCTAAATCAAATTGCAAACATGAAATGCATCAGTTTGCAAGCTATAGGTTTCGGTTTTTCCTGGTTACAATTATGTATGCGCAGTTTGGAAACAGTGTCATGTACCACTGGGATTTGAAGGAGGATTTGAAGGAAGTTAACTTATTTTATTTCTCAGGGCTGGCTGCGGGGGTGTATTCGGGTCTTACATATGGCCTGGCAGAGGCTCGTGGAGCTCACGATTGGGTAATGCTTAATTATCTTCTGTCATGGATTGAATGCTGCAGCATTACTAAGAGCTTGATACTTGTATGGTGCTTAAAGCCGTTATTGCGCTTGGTTCTTCGGTGCAGAAAAACAGTGCAGTTGCGGGAGCGATTACAGGCGTTGCCCTGGCACTCACATCGGAGGGTTCGTCCCATGAGCAGATAGTGCAAGGCGCCATCACCGGAGCTGCCATATCCACCGCTGCAAATCTTCTTTCTGGGATATTTTAAGCTGCTGGTTGGGATCATATTCATATGTAGTCCCACAGAAAGCCTTCTTTTTGATAATGCAGAGATGTGACTTTGCCCCATATCTCTCTTGTTTTAAGGAACTTGTGGTTAGGTTTTTGCTTTCACCATCTATAATGTTGCCCCTTGTTCTTTCTGGATGCTTAAACTTCACTGGTTTAGTATCGAGATTTCCGGATGTTTTAGATGGTTGGTTATTGAAGGTTCATTTTGGTTATCGGCATCGGCAAGTTTTTAGATGTTGCGACTCCAATATACTAATGTCATGCAAGTCATTATTCGTCATTATTTGAATTTTAAGGGTTTTTCTTCTTATTACGAATAAGACACTATTCCACTTAACATTAAACCACAATGCAAACCATAGCTAAACCTTTATTTTCCTTTATGTTTATTATAGACAGACCAATCATAGGATTCAAATTTATGATTTCCTCCAACACCTGTAAAAAATATAGTCCAATGTATGGTAAACAAATTGATAATTTTTTGTTCTTGCATTGCAATATTAGCAACCCACTCACGCGTACTTGATAATATTAATTAATAACACCGCCATGACAATATTATCCTTATAAACAAACATTTCTCTACTAGAGGAATATGAGAACTTATGCTATGCTACCGCTCATAAGCCCCCTTTTTTTTTCTTTTTTTTTTTAATGCGACTAGCTGGTGGTCAAACCACGACAATCCACTTTTCTAGGAGTAGAGGCATTTTAGCCTCTCTATCATATCATCTCAAATCGGGCCAGCCATAGGGCCATAAAGCCAAAGGATAACCTTTTTTTGACACAAAACTTATTTCCAACGAAAGTATGAGTGAAAAAACCTTGGAACCCACCAGGCCAAAATCCAGCCACATGGTTAGCAAGCCGAACATCCTTAGCCAGCCAGCCAACTCATTTAGTTGGGCCCAGTTGCTTTTTAAATTTTTTTCTTAGATGAAATTTAAAAAAATAAATTTAAAATTCTAATTTTGTCCTCTAAATACTTGAGACATTTCTCACATCATTTTCACCCTTATATACTATCTTACCTCATTTTATTTCAATTCTTCATATTCTATTAATCTCAAACACTCTTTTCATACACACCCCTCTTTTACCTCTTCCAATAATCTTTCCTGTAATTTTTTAAATTATTTTCAGATGGCCACATCTTCAAGTGGCACTCAAAATATGTCGGAAACCTGATTTTAATATGTTAGTTTAATTCAATTAACTAATAAAATTAAAGAACAAACTTAAAATAATAAATTATTGAGGAGACTAAAAAATAGCTCCTTTCGAATAATTTCTTACAGGACTATAATCAGAATATGGGTTAAACATAATACCTTTAGTTGGAGATGACCTCACTTTCACGTGATTTACAAGCGTCATGAATCGATCGCAGAATTACCGCTCATAAGTTTAATGTCTCCAAACCAAACAAGAAAAGGGTAGCCAATCACATATCGGTTTATGACGTCAAAATCAAATTTTGCGTGTTAACATAAAGAAAAAAAGGACCGCTTTTCTCTATGGAGCCGCAGCCGCAGCCGCCTAAAGGAAATCTAAATTAAAGGCAAAGAACCACCCCTTTCCCCCAAAACCCAGATTTGCCTCTCTGCCCTAATTCAAGTTCCCTCACCGATACCCGACCCGAAGAAGGTAAGCCTCCTCTCAAATTTCTGGGGTTTTTATTTTGTCTATGCTATTGTTTAAATAATTGCTCTAATCTCTGCCTCTGCAACTGTTTTCGAGTAGATCGGTAGGGAAAGAATGCCTTTTTAATTGTTTTGGGTGCTTGATTGTGTGAATTTAGGTAAATTTTAGGTTTTTTGGTACAAGTATTGCTGTAATTTCGATGTTGCTTGAACTTATCGGCCTTAGTAGTTTGAGGGGGAAAAAGGGTTTAGATTGCAGTTTGTCTGACTCAAAATTGTTTGAACCCGACTTCAACCTTACCCAAATGTAAAAGTTTTAACAAAAGCACTAATACAATCAAATATTCATTCACACTTTGCATCTGCACGGATCTCAGCTTACATAGCTGGTTGCATGCTAAAGATCTCCAACTCAACAATTGAGACACCTGGGCTAACTAAGTGATGCCACTTGATATCCTAACAAAAACTAGGTTAGATTGGTAGTCTTGTTGAAGAAAATGCTTAGTTGTAGGTTACATTGTGAATTAAACTGATGACGCTGAGGAATGAATAATTAAGTTGAAGAAATTGACCCAAGAAAGTTTTTTATGTACTAGGTTTTGTTTATACAAAGGTATTGATGCTCATATATTTAATGTTCGAATATGTTTTTTTTTTTCCAGTTAAATTTGTAGTCTGATGATTCTTGTAGATTTATCAGCCCTTCTTCTTACAGGGAGATCTTGTGTAACTTTTGTATGCTTATTGCCGATAGATTACCAGCTTATAAGTTGTAGTTCTATTTTGGTAGATTTTTTGTATGTGAGAGAAATCTTTGTTATGTTTCGTTTTTATTGATTGGGGAGTTTGAAATTTCTTCCAGCCATACAAAGTTGGTCATTTTTGTCGGTTTTCAACCTGTACGTTTCACGTGTTTTTTAAAGCTAGTTGATTTCAATGTTTTCGCTTTTGGCTTTTTTACTCTTTTCATTCTTGATATTTACTGAAAAACGGGAGTTTTTTACATTATTGACCGAAATATTCAATGTATCTGAATGACCTAATTACCAATTAAATGCAGGGTCTGAGAGCATTTGGAGATTGTGGCAGTGATTGCCTTGGAACTTCAGGCTGTTGGCATTCAATTGCTTGTATTCTGATTTGAACATTGTGATTTAGAACATGTCAAGTAAGAAAGAAGAGAAAGCTCAAGCTGCGGCTGAAAGGATCAAGGCAGCAGCCTTGAGTGCTGCAAAAGGTCTTAGTCGAGCTCAGGCTGAAAGGGCAGCTGCTGCAGCTGCTCGGAATGTTAATGCTTATGGGCAGAAGGAAGAAGGACCCAGCAGATGGCAGGAGAAAAGGGAAGCCAAGAGACAGATGTATTTGATGAGTACTGAAAAGGCTGTGAGATTGGGTGAACGGAAAGACCTCAAGTCAAATGTGTCTACCGTTGGTGGTGCAGCTTCACAATGCCAGAAGTGTTACCAACCCGGGCATTGGACATATGAATGCAAGAATGAACGCGTTTACATCTCGAGACCGTCTAGGACCCAGCAACTCAAAAATCCTAAACTGAAGATGAAGGTTGAAATATCATATGATTTGGACAGTCCAGAAATTAAGGAAGAGAAGGAAGAAAAGCAGTCAAAGAAAAGCAAGAGGAAGCATCGCTCAGCCTCTGATTCCGGAAGTGATAGCGAGGCTTCAGTTTTTGAGACTGATAGTGGTGCATCATCAGTTACAGGATCTGAATATTCTTCGGAGGAGAGTAGCTCAGATTACAGCTCATCTACTGACTCAGAGGAGGAGAGGAGGCACCGAAGGAAGAAGAAGAAGCAAAAGATGGCAAGGCGTAGAAGAAGGTACAGCTCATCATCTGAATCAACTGATTCTGAGTCAGCTTCCGAATCTGATTCTGATGATAGGAGGAGCCGGAAGAAGAGCACGAGGCACGACAGAAAGCATTAAACGAGGTGGTCGAGCATAGTGGAGAGCAGTTGTGTATTTGGTTCAACATGTGTAATGTTAAATTAGGTTGTGTTTCTTTTCGCTCTGGAATTCTTCTTCAAAAAAGTTGGTCATACAGTGGAAGCCAGCTTTTTTGTTTGAAACTGATGCATATTTAGTATAATATCTTTGTGAGAGTGAGTTGATTGTACAACTGGCTATTGGCTTATGCCCAAATGAGTTTGTTTCATATCGGTTGATTTAGACCTGGCATTTTAGGTTCGACCCGTTAACCCGATCCAATCCGACGCGTTAATATTAGTATTTGGATGTATGCTTAACGGGTTAGATCGCTAACGGGTGAACCTGTTAAATAACGGATCATTTTGGGTCAACCCGTTAGATCTGTTAGCATCCGTTAGTTGAGGATGTTTTAGTAATTTCAGTAAAGTCTTAACAACAAAAAATAAACTCCATGTAAAATTAATAATAATAATAATAATAATTGTTAACGGGTGAAATGGGTAACCCGTTAGCTTAACGGGTTGGGTTCGGGTGATTCGTTAACTTAATATGTCGGGTTCGGGGGACCTGTTAACTTAACGGATCAGATTGAAGCCGACACAAATCCGATAAACCCGACCCGTTTATAGGTCTAGGTTGATAATCCTTTGTGAGAGGACCAAGATTCTTGATGGCTTTTCATCGAGCGAATTCTTAGCTGTTCACAGTTATATAGCTGTTTGCGTTTATTGTGCGAGAGAGACAAAAAAAGATGCAATTGGTTACTAACAGATTGGATTAACAGTTCTTTCCATTCTTGATCGATAAGCTTTGAAAGGCTTAGTTCTTGATGATTGGAATGCAGATCTAGAGGGAAATGATAGTTCAGAATTTTTGGGGATAAAACATGCACTAACGCGATGTGGAAGAGGGAAAACGATAATTTGACACATCAACTTACTCAAATATTATATATGAGGATTGAAACTTGAACTCAGATTCTGTATATGGGCACAGTGCTCTGGTTAATTTGCCGAATTACCTAGAGGTTTTAGAATCGAATCTCTTACTTCCTTGATGTAAATATATCGTTTGTATCAACAAAATAAATAAATAAATAGATAAAAAAAACAATAAAAACGTTGGGCCTTTGGGGCCTTCGTTTGCAGGTGCTAAAGGCTTTGGGGCCTTATTGTTTAGGCCTCTACGTTTCCAGTTTACCGAAAATACCCTTAAACATTCTTGAGAATAACGGTCAAGACTGAAGCAGAGTACTTATAAGATCTGGTATTAGGAAGAAGAAGAAGAAATAGCAGAAAACCCGCCATTCGCCAAAAGCAAAAAATCAAACTCTCCAAACCCTAAAAACTCAGAGCTTCTCCACAATGAGTACCATGAAATTTTGCCGCGAATGGTCTGTAAATCCCACCACACTGTATTTTAATTTTTCATATATTTTTTTTTAATTTTTTCTTCTAAAATTTTCAATTGGGTTTTCAGTAACAACATTCTGTACCCGAAGGAGGACAAGGAGCAGAAGAGCCTCCTCTACGCCTGCCGCAACTGCGATCACCAGGTCAGCTCACACTCTCCATCTCGCTTCCCCCTGATTTTTTTTTCTTTAGCAATTATTTTGCATGATTTGTTTCATTTTAGTCCTGCGGTAAGTGGTTTGCCCTAATGCCTCGTAATCTCATTTGGTTAATTAGGTTTAAGCTATTAATTTCCATAACCCGAGGTTAATCTGGCCTTTACTGAAGCTTGGTACAAGGATGGAACTTTTTTCTTGGTTTCTTTTGAGTGAATTGCATCAAAATTTTCTGTCTTTTTACAAATGTAGACCATTCTGATACCCACATTTTGGAATTCAGTTAGGGTTCCCAATTCTTTCCTTTTTGCTATTACTTTCTTCTTTAAGGGTTTTTGCTAGATCCCGAAAAGTTCATGCCCGGAAAGTGAAACAAAAATCCGATAATTCATACTCATCTCTGTTTGTTTTTATGAACTTATTCTCTTAACTTATATATTCCGTGACCAGTTAATTCTCAGGGTTGATGGGGACTGTGTTATGTACTTATTAGATTTTATGTTGTTCTTTGTTTGCAGGAGATTGCTGAGACCAACTGTGTCTACAGAAACGAGATACACCACGCTGTTGGTGAGCGCACTCAGATATTGCAGGATGTAGCTGCAGATCCTACTCTTCCAAGAACTAAAGCCGTGCGCTGTGCTGAGTGCAAGCATGGAGAAGCTGTTTTCTTTCAGGTTATATGCCCAATCCTCTGTGAATTTTATTGGTAGTTGCCTTTTCAAACTTTTGGTGTTCAAGAGCGCAATGCTAATTATTTTAATGTCACATAAATATTCCAAGTCGTCACTTGTTTGGATGAAATTCCAACTGCTAATCTCTTTATCATTAGACAATTGGATTCACGACGCTAGGGCCAGTTTTGCTATTTGTATAGTTTAAGATAACTCTAGAAAGGTATCAGGGTTAAAGATTTTTTCTGGTGTTTGTAAACTTCTAGCTCTTCGTGTATCATTGCTTCTTGCCTTTCGCTTCAGATTTCAGTTGACTATTTAATTTAACCAAGTATCTATTAAAATTAGTGACCATGATTATGGATTCTCCTAGGAGACGCTTAACTTGTATTCAGCCCGAGTTCTTGTGTTATATATTCTAGAGAGATTGGTAGGCCACTTTGTATTGAAACATCGTTCTGTTTTGAGCAAATCTCAGCCATTGTATCATTGGGAAGTCGGATTCTTTTCGTCTCTGGGGGGTATATGTTCTCTACCATGCATACAGTGATACCATATTGAACAGTCAGATTGAAGTCATGTGCAATAAACTTGCACCTGATAGCTGTTTGTTTACTCTATGATGGAGATTTGTAACTGCTGCTAATGCTTTTAAGTTTATTGTATATGTGCAGGCAACTGCTAGAGGAGAGGAGGGTATGACATTGTTCTTCGTCTGCTGCAACCCCAGCTGCGGCCATAGGTGGAGAGACTAAGATTCACGCCCACCTCTTTATCTGCTCAGTTTTTGTTCTACCGGAAACATGCGTTGTTCCCTAAAAATGTGACTGTAGGATGGAGATCAGTTCGAAAGACTTGTGTTGAAAGCACTTCCGCATTTGTTTAGACTATCCTTTGACATCCAATTTGGCGTGGATTCAAAAATTACTTTTGTTTCTGCCACAATACTTTGCTTCCATGCAATTTTGAATCACAATGGGTAACAGGCAAGGCCATTTTTCAGAAAGAGAAAGCCCGGGGCGGGAATGGTGAAACCCGCCCTGGATAAAAAGTATCGGAAGGGAAGTGATTTTCACACGCCCATTTTTAAATAAATCAAAGTATATCTAGAGAAAACCAAGAGTGACCAAAAAAATGGGGTGGGAAATCAAACTTTTTTTTTTCCTTTCGTTATTAGTGATTAAATAAAACCGAATGGCTGTACAAGAATGAATTCCCTGGTAAAAAAAAATTACACAAGCAGATCTCTAATTCCCTTCTAAACAGAATACCCCAAAGGATTAACCCATTTCCAAAATTGAAGCAATGGTACAATGGTAAAATCCTCGAGGATATAATGGTCAAATACCTAAAAAAATATAAAAATAAAAATAAAAATAAAAATAAAAAACGCAGGAAGAAAGAATAGAAGGGGGTAAAAGCTGAAGTAAAAATCAAGATGGGCTTCTTCAACCTCATTAGTGACTCAACTTCTTTGCAAATCAATGGGAGCTACAAGGAGGATATTGTCTGTGTGAACCAGTCTGATAGGCATTTCAGTTTCCCTAAAAGCTCTTTATCTGATGCGCGTTTGACCGCGTTGCTCTCGAGATAGGTTTCAGCATTTGCCAGCATGACCTTAAAGTCATGCTTCAGCGCTTCCAGGCTTCGATAGTAGTCGTTCTCTAACCTGGACTGGATCACATCAAGAGATATCGGAACCACACACCTGAGAGAATTCCACAAGACAAGACTACATGTCAACAGTTTGACGGACAGAGCATGCACGATATGGAAATCCAATGATACATTCGAGGAACGCTATAAGAATAACGAAGACATACCAGTTCGTAAACTTTGGCTTCTGTTGAAGTTGCATCAGTTTGTCAACCCCAAAAGGATCCTGAATTGTACACAACAATATTGAGAAAAATCCTTGTAAGTCTTCAAAGAGTTTGCTAGATGGGACCATTGGCCAAATTTTGTTTTTGAGTTATTAAAAGTAAAAGGTATTTTCTCCTTAATACCTGACGACTTCCGGCTGATCGCTCTAGTTTGGCAAAGGCCGAATGCAGCTTCTTTTTGCTTTTATCATCAATGTGAGGCGGCTCCCATTGAGTAATTTCATCAAAAAGCTCCCAAGGACTATGTAGTTGTACATCACTAGGATCACTCTTGTACTGAACAGTGTACATCTCCCAAGGACTGTCTGGGAACTCCAACGATTTAAACTGTTTAGACTTAACCCTGCCATGCCACCACTTACCGTCATCCTCGCCCTCATTTTTCCACCAGACTTTGCAATGATCCCTACATGACCAATTTCTCTCCATGGAAGAGTCGAAGCGAGTTCTTTCAACAATGAAGTCTGGGAAACCAGTAACTTCCGGCAGAGTCATCTTAAAAGATTTACCATACACATCAGAAGAAGGATCTACAAATTGAATCGTCAATTTACAGCAGCTATCCCCAGACCCTGCACGTGAAGAATACTCAAGCTCTTGAACATTGCAAAATTCGACCGCTCTTATTCTCCCCTTTATAAACCTCCACGGTGGGTTTTCTCTCAATCCACCCAGATCGAAATACTCCTGATGCCCCTGGTAAGAAAGGAAAAAGAAAAGGAGGTTACCAAAGTAAATGATACTATCGACATTCATATGACAAAACCAAAACAAGAAAGGGGAGCCCAGTGCACAAGCATGGGACAGTGCGGGGCTGGGGGAGGGCAAACATACACAGCTCTAACCCAATTTCAAGAAAAGCTGTTTATGTAACTTGTGCGACCAATGGGTCACTTAGGGATACCATTTTGTGTTGCCAAGGTACAAGCTCCACCCTCCTCCCGCCCAAAGGAAGAAATAAAAAAGGCAGCAGAAAGATATAGAGAAACCTGTCTCAGATAAACAACTTTGTCCCCTAACTGGGGGATATATCTTGAGCTCTCCTCATGCGCTGACAACATTAACCATGATACTTTCTTTCCTGACTGATGCGGCTTCCTTTTATCCATTGGA